CTGCAGTACCTCCCCGGGTCAGATGTGCCCCTGGACGTCTCCCTGTTGCGGTGGGCACACATCAGGGTGGACGTGCTATGGTACTTCCTGCACACCAACGACCTCATCTGTTCAGAGGTTGCAGGGACAGTGACTAAGGATGCAGCCTGGAACCACGCTGCCCAGTTTGGTGGACTGCAGTGCCCCCACCACAGTGTCCAGCATCCTGCTGGTGGACAGGCAGGTAGCACGAGACCCATGAAGATACCACTGGACACAGAGATCGGACAGCGGGATGCTATTGCCAACTGTTTATTCAGGCCCCAAACAGGTGACCAGTGACATGCAATTTGCCTGGGCCCGTGGCAGACTGACTTGTGCTGCCGGCCCTGCTGGTGTGCAAACAAGTTCCCAGAGGAGAGGCCACCTGGGGCCAACTGGAGGGTACGTGTGGTGCTGACCGGGGCGCAGGCCCCAGGGGAAGAGGGTGCGTGAAGAGTGGGGCCCCAGTGTCTGTTGTATCCAAGCCAGCCAGGGGGCTGCGCCAGTGCTGAATGTCACAGCTGTGGGGGCTGTGGGGGGGGGTGAGCGTGGTGGGGGGCAGACCGTGCCCTACCGGCAGCCCCGTAGTCCCCCTGCTAAGGCATGACTGTCAATGAGTTTCTCCACCCAGCACACGGTCTGGGCAGTGGCTGGGCCCTTGGGAAAGGGCTGCAGACCTCTGTGGCATCTTCCACGGGTCCCGGCAGCCCAAGGATGCCCAGGACACTCCTTTTGGCCAGTGGCCCCGCCTCAGCGCCTCTGGCTGGCAAACCAGGAGAAAAAGTGATGGGGACGCGGACGCGGGGCCTGGTGAATGCGCACAATGCGTGGTGAACGCCAGGCTTTGATGGTGGCATCGTCACTGGCCGTCAGCAGGAGCTCCTGCTCTTGGGGGCTGAAGACCACCGAGTTGACCACGTCCTGGTGCCGCAGCTTAGCCAAGCAGATGTTGTAGTGCCGATCCCAGATGTAGCCGTGCCGGTCTTCGGCTCCACTGCAGGAGAGCCTCAGGTGAGCCCCTGCCCAGCACATCTGGAACCCGGCCCTGCCCTGCCCTGCACTTCTACCTGGCCACGAAGTCCCTGCTGACATCCAAGAAGATGAAGAAGCACTCGTCATTGGGCGTGTAGGCACGGTGGGCTCGAAGAGCCCGCTTCACCTCCCGCATGGTCTTGAGATCAAACACCAGCAGGTCGATCTCCTCTGCGATAGGCGGTGGCTGCATGGGGTCGGCCACCACAGAGCCACTGGGCCAGGCACGGCTGTTGACGTACAGGTACCTGGGCGAGAGGCACCCTGCTTGGTACCAGCGGCCTACAGAGGCCCCCACCCAGGACACTCTCGGGGGCGCACCTGTTGTCTGGAGACAAGCCCATGCCAATGATATGTCCATGCACATCGATGACGTGGTCCAGGGCATCAAAGAAGGCATCTGAGCCCCGCCCCTCACCCAGCACAGGCCCAGCTGTGGTCATCTGGTGTGGCAGGATCTGCTTGATGCCTGTGGGAGGGCCGGGTAAGAGCACCACATCTGAAGCATAGGTGCCCATGGAACATGCACTCCAAGAGACAGGACCAGGACTGGGCCCCCAGGACAAACGAAGAAAGTGCACTCTGCCCTCTAACTCACACCCTGCCCTTTGGCTGCAAGACCCCACCCCAGTCTTGGGGAAGCCTCACCCCCAAGGCTCTAGCGACTGAGCAGGGCCTGCTCCCTACCAATCTGGTGTGGTGAGTAGGTGAGGCATCCCGTGGTGAAGATGAGGAGCTTGCTGGCATCAGCCATGCTGTGCTCTGGAGGCTTGGTGCGGCCCTGGGCCAGCAGCTCAGCCACCTTGGTCTCCAGCGCGTGCTCAGACAGCTGGGGCTGCGCCCGCGCATCCAGGAGCCCATCCAAGAAGCGCCGCAAGCCCTCCTTGGCGCGGGCTGGAGCTGGCACGGGTTCCGGGCCTCCCTCCTCATCCTCACTGTCACTGCCCAGGTCAAAGACACGGCCTGGGGGTGCACCAGCATCCAGCAGGAGGTCTGGGCTGTCAAAGCGGCTGCAGTCAGCCACCATCACTGTGCGGATGGTGCTGGCGTTGAGGTTCTGAATCTTGAAGAGCCGCTTCACCACGTTGACATTTTCTGACTCCACGTCCTGGGAGTGGGAGACAGCAGGTGGGCACAAGGCCAAGGACAGGGTGGCTGCAGGGGCCTGCCCGCCCTCGCACCTGGAAGGCGTTGTTCAGCCAGAGCACTGAGCAGGAGGTGATGTCTCCGATGCGGTGCAAGTTTCCCGAGATGAGGCTGGTCTCCGTGAGCCAGCAGCCAAACACATCATAGGGCTTGTTGCGTACTCGGGACAGCAGGGCGAAGTTGTCTGGGGGGATGCGGGGGCAGGGCTGTGGGAGGGGGGCGGGGCTGGGGGGGTGCAGGGCCTTGTGGGGGGAGGGGTGGAGTTGGCCAGGATAGCCAGGACAGCCAGGCCGCCCCAGGCCCGCTCTCACCTAGGCTAATGACCGCGATCTCACCCGACGAGGAGTTGTGGGGCCCTAGGAACACCCCAGATGCCAGTAGCAACGAGTCGTCCTGGTTGAACTGGGAGAACTGGGTGTAGCTCCAGTTATAGGGCCGCATGTCCGCACTGTGCAGCAGCGAGATGGTCAGGTCGTTGTTCCAGATCTGCGTGGGGACTGAGTCACCTGGGGACCTCTTGACACCAGGGCCCATGCTGCAAGCCCCCAGTCCAGCTGAGCTGGTACCCAGAAACCACCACCAGGACAGAGATCCTTGCCGCTGGCTGCCCACGCAGCGAGGGTTGTGGGCCCATGCAGCTGGGCTCCTGGCTCTGGAGAGCCCACTTTACTCCATTAGCAGTGAGGGTGGCCCCTCATCCCCCAGCCTCCATCTTATGATGTCCAGATCCTAGCTGGACTGCCTGGCCCCAGCTGCCCCAGCTGTGCTCACCCACCTTGATGGTGCAGTCCTTGGAGCAGGAAGCAAACTGGTAGCCCGAGTGGGAGAAGCTGAGATGCAGCACCTGATCAGCGTGCTCCCTGAGCGTCTGCACTTCCACACAGGGCACCGTGTCATAGAGCCGCCGAAACTCTTCATACCAGGATGTGGCCGCTGGGGGTGGGGGTGGTCATTGCTGGGGCCCTGAGCCTCCTTTCCCACAGAGGCCAGCACCCTGACAGCGTAGGGGCCAGCCCTGCCCCTGGAGGACACTGGTTACTTCAGCAGCAGGGGTGCCCCTGGCACCCCCAGACCCCTGCCTCCCTGCCAGGTCCAGTACTGAGACACAGCCCAGCTGTTCCCCACCAGTGTGAGTGCCATGTGGTGCGCTGACGACCACCATGTAGAACTGGGCAGCAGGGGCCCAGTGCTGTGGCTTTAGCAGGCAGCATGTGAATGGCTCTGCCTCCCACCCTCCCAGCCAGCCTGGTGGGCTGTGGGGCCACGTGCAGGCCCTGACCTGGGTGCCGGGGCACATCTCGGGCCACCTGGTAGTAGCGGTAGAACTGCTCCCTCCACAGGAACTCGTCCCGGGACACGGCCTGCCACTGGCGACACACCAGACCAGCGGCCAGTACGTCAGCTGGGCCCAAGCTCAGGAAGATCTGGTAGACGAGGCTGTCAGGGAGCAGGGGCACGCCCCCCTCGTCCATTGTGACATTCTGCCCAGGCAGCCCTGCAACCCACATGTGGTCCCCTTAGTTCCCCGCTGCACCGAGGCAGGACGCTGGCCCCAGGGAACGAGCCTGGGGCTGGGCGAGGCTGAGCAACAGCCCTGCTGGGCATTCCGCTGGACTGTGTGTGTGGAGGGCCAGCTGGCACTGCCCACCTGGCCGAGGGTCCAACAGCTCCTCCAAGCCCCCTGCACCCCACACCCCCGCGGGCCCTGGAACAGGCCAGACTCAGCTCAGCACCTCGCAGCCTGGTCCAGCCCCAGGTGGTGGGCGGCGCATGCCCCTGGACCCACATCTGACCTCCTCCCGCTCCTGAGCCCAGAGATCATCGGGATGCCTGGGCTGGACACTGCTCTGAGGCGGAAAAACGAAGGGCCGCTGACCACCGCGCACTCCTGTCGCCCTGACCTTGTGGCCCCAAGACTTCAGGGCGGTCGGTGTGGACACAGGTCATTCCGAGAAAAGGCCTGGGGCCGGGGGGGACGAGCGCCAGCCCGCCCGCCCCGACACTGCCGGGGCACGGCCGGCCCTCGGCCTCGGCCCTGCAGCGAAGAGGAGCCGCGCCAGGCGGTCAGCGGGCCAGCGCGGCCAGGGCCGGGCGAGCCGGAGGGAAGGGCGGGGGCTGCCCGGCGTCCTTTCCCACCTCCCCCGCGGGGGGCTGCGAGGGGCGGGGCCTTGGCTCGGGGTCCCGGCGGCCCTTTCATCCGCAGAGGGCTCGGCCGAGGCCGAGGGGCCGGAGGCGGGGGGCGGGGTGGCCAGGGAGCCGGGGACGGACACGGCCTGTCAGCGACACTCCTCGGGGCCGGGGGCCGGGGGTCGAAGGGCCGGGGGTCGGGGGCCGGGGCGGGACGACGACGCTTCCCGGGGCCGGGCGCACTCACCGCGGCCGCCTCCGCCCAGCCGTGCTGCCCCCGCCCCGGCGCCCGGCCTCGGCCAGTGGACCCGCTTCCGCCCCGCCGCTCCTGCCGCCGCGTCTCTATGATGGAGCCGGCCAGGCTGACGCCTCGAACCCTGAAGCATCGATAACCACGGAGCGTCGAGCACCAGGCCGCCCGCTGGGCTGTTGCTGCGCCTGCGCGCAGGCGAGCTCGCTTCCCACAGCGCCCCCGGCGGCCGGGAAGGGCGGCGGCCCTGCGCCGGGACCCGCCGTCTGGGCCGCAGGCGAGGCTCAGTGAGCGCGCGGGTTCGAGACCCGGCCCCGCCGCCTCCAGCTGCTGGGGCCCTGGGCTAGGGGGTCGTGGACAAGGAGCCAGAGGTCAGCTCGGACTTTGTAACCAGAATATGGAGCCAGGCCCTGCCGGGAAGTGCAGAGTCCAGGAGGCTGGGGGTGGACTCCGCAGGGAGAGCAGGAGGACCCGGGACTTCCTGGGCTGGAGGTGGACCCGCAACGACTTCCTGTGCCAGGCTTCTGGGCGGCACTGGACGATGGACTCTGACCTAGAACGTGGCCGTCCTGTCCTCAGCCTCCCCCAGTCCTGGCACCATCCCTGCCGCTGCCATGCTGACCCCCTGGACTGCGCTCCTCTTGACTCTGCTCCTGGCTGGGGGCTCCGTGAGCCAGAGGGCTCGGAGACCCCCTCGGCCGGCGTCCCCCATCAACACCATCCAGCCCCAGGTCAACTTCGATGCTCACCAGGTAGCAGGGGGATGGGTGGGCGGGCAGGCACTTGCCCCCCCTCCCCAGCTTTCCAGGGGTCAGGTCGGGCAGCCCGCCATCCCCTATGCCCTCACATGGCCTGCTCCTAGTTTGCAGGGACGTGGTTCCTTGTGGCCGTGGCCTCCTCATGCCGCTTCCTGCAGGAGCAAGGCCACCGGGCTGAGGCCACCCTCCTGCATGTGGCTCCCCAGGGCGCAGACATGGCTGTCAGTACCTTCCAGAAGCTGTGAGTCCCCAGCACGGACCCCGGGGCCCAGGCTGCCTGGCCTGGATCAGAGTCCTGTGAGGCCCTGCGCAGGTTGGGGTCCCTAAGCTGTGCCTCCTCCCCACCCCCCACCCCCCAGGGATGGGATCTGCTGGCAGGTGCGGCAGCTGTACAGAGATGGCAAAGTCCTGGGCCGCTTCCTGCTGCAAGGTGAGGCAAGGGCACGAGGTGCAGGGGTGCAGGGCTGGGAGGCCATAGAATGACTCCACCCTGCCCAGCCCGAGGTGCCCGCGGGGCAGTGGACATGGTCGTCGGGGAGACAGACTACCAGGGCTTCGCCATCCTGTACCTGGAGCAGAAGCAACAGCTGTCAGTGAAGCTGTACGGTGCGTCCACACCAAAGCCCAGGCTTTGCACACCCACAGGGCCACGCACGGGGCAGGGGGGGAGCCCAGATGGACACACGGACCCTCCCTGCCCTCCCCCTTCCCTCCCTGTATTCTGACTTCTGACCCTCTTCTGCTGAGCGGGGACCCAGGGAGGAGCCCCTGCAGAGGGGCCAGAGGGGCCAAGGCGTGAGCGCAGGGGGATGGGGTGGGGTTTGGGGCGTGCCCCCACGTGCCCCACCTGCTCCCTTGCCGCTGGCCCAGGAGCCCCTTGTGCCCCATAGCCCGCTCACTCCCCCCAAGTGACTCGGCCCTGAGCGCCTTTGAGCAGCGGATCCAGAGGGTCAACCTGACTGAGGACCATGTCCTCTTCTTCCCCAAGTATGGTAAGTGTCTCCTCGCCCCATGGCCGCCTCGCCCTCCCACTGTGTGCCCGCCCCAGCCACCCCTGATACCCACCTGGGCCTTCAGGTTTCTGCGAGGCTGCAGACCAGTTCCATGTTCTAGATGGTGAGTGGTACAGCAACAGGGGGCACCCCTCAGCTCCTTCCCCCGCTGAGTCTGGTCTCTGTGCCCCAGAAGCCGGAAGGTGAGTCCTGGCAGCAGACCTGAACTTGGAATGAGTGAAGACCCCAGAGATGGTGGCACCTGTGACCCCACTCACTGAGCCCTGATGCCCCACAGGGTCAGGGCCACCCATGGGTGACAGCCAGCACCCACATGTTCAGGAGTACTGCCTTCATTAAACGCTGCATCCTAGCCCCTGGTTCCTTCCTTCCCACGTGGGTCCTGGCCTGGGGCCTCTGTCTGTCATCTAGTGGGCAGGCGGCTGCTCCTGGGCAGGGGGCGGGGGCTGTGGAGGGGAAGGGGTCGGCTCCCGCCCTAGGAAGGCAAGGTGGATATCGGAGGTGCCCCTGCTGTCCTGTGCCTTGTGTCCCTGAGTTGGGCCTCCTGCCGCCCTCTCCTGCTCCCAGGGTATGAACACACGTGCCCTGCTGGTCTTGAGCCCACCCCCTGCCTAGAGGGGTGAGGAGTCCTCCCCCCACAGGCCCCTGGCCTCCTGCTGACTCTGTGCTCCCTCCAGGGAGGGATGGGTCCAGAGTCCCAGTGGCCCTCTGGCCTGAGGCAGCTCAGGCCCCTGGGGCAGGGACAGGGAGCCCTCCTGGTTCCTGGATGGGGTGCCTAGGTCTGCAGTGCTGGCACCGTCCCTGTGGCTGCCCCTGAGGGCTGAGTCCAGTGCTGGCACTGGGCAGCCGGTGTCCCTAGGGATAGATCACATCGTTACAGAGGCAAGGACAATAAGGAGGGGGGGCGTCTATCCCAGAATGGGGGGGGGAGCAGGCCAGCCTAATCCATGTGTTAGGACTGGGGTGAGCACAGGTGAGGGAGCCCACACCCAGTATTTGACCAAGGCTACCAGCTCGGGGGCACCAGGAGCTCTAATCAGAGAGAGACCTTTCTGGAATGTGGGAGCTCAGAGGCCCGGGAGATGGAGGCTAGAATGGGATAAGGGCGCACTGCCCATGGCTGCCTGGGGGGACACACTCCATGGTTGGGGGGATGTGGCGTGTTAGGTTAGGTCTGCCTCCGGGGGCTGTCCCCCGCCCCCCAGCCCCCCCCACCCCCCCACCCCCGGCCCAGGGAAGACTGCACATCCTTTTCACTCCCCAGATCCTGGCCAGCCTGCCTGACCCTTATGGGGGTCCCCAGACACTGGGAACATCACAGAAAGAGAAGAATCAGGACTGGGGAACCCTGAACCTCCTCCACAAGCAACCAACAGGCACTTGAAAGAAAACCATCTCCTGTCACTCCTGTGGCTGTGCCCTCAGGGCCAGGGTCTGCATGGGGTGGGGCACAGGCCAGGGGACAGCTGCCCTGGATCTAGGGCAGGGAACTGCGGTCCTCACCCTGTGCAGGGGGCCCAGGGGGCAGGGCCTGGACGGGGGAGAATGGTCTCCAGACCCTCCCAGCAACCCCCGCTCCCCATCATGTCCAGTTGGCATCTCCACGGCCTGGAGGGCACTGGCCAGTTTCAGCAGCTCCGAGGAGGGCTTGGGGAGGGTACTGTGCCCCACACGTACCTACCATGTGCCCAGCTCGGGGGTGGTGGGCCTGGGCTATCTCCCTTTGCTCCCCTCGGGGGCCCCCCAAGCCTTGCCCTGGGACCCTGGGCATCCATGTGATGAGTGCCTCTGAAGCACCTACTGTGTGCGTGCCAGGCTCCGGGCACGTGCGTGGGGTGGCTACCTGTTCCTGGAAACTGGTCCAGGGCTCACCACTGAGTGGCCGCCTTCCCTGGGCTGCCAGCGAGCAGGGGTGAGGACCAGGCCACCCCAGGTAACCTATGGGTCAGTCACAGAGCGGGAGGGGACACTCTGGCTCTGCCGCCACCTCTGCCTGCCCACGCCCCCCCCACCCCCAGCCCGGAGCAGGACGACTGGGCTGGCTGGGGAGAAGAGGGTACGGGGAGGGCTTTGAGGGAGAAGGCCAAGGGAGACTCGCCTCCCCCCAAGCCCTACGGCCCAGAAAAGACCTGGAGCCACAACGCCTGTACCCCGGAGGCCAGCGCTCGGAGCTGGCAATGCCCAGAAACCCTTGCCCCTCGCCCCGCTTCCCCCAAACCGAAAAGCCGCGGTCACTACCCACCCTCGGCCAATCGCATCGGCGGTGGGCGGAGCCACAGCTGCGTGCCCCGCCCCCCGAGTTCGCCGCCTGCCGTCCGCCGCCTGGCGGGCTGTAGGGGGCGCCAGAGCCACTAAGCGCCGTCAAGAGGCGCCGGGAGCTGCGTTCACCCTAGGTCGGGACGAGTGGGCAGGGTCCCGGAGGCCGGGCCGGGGCTTTGTCTCGGGCCCGGGGGACTCTCCTGGCCAGTCCCGTCGGGGGGTCCCTGCTCCTCCCCGCCCCCAGTCCCCCAGAGCACGGGTGCACAGGGGCTGCTCTCATGTGTTGAGCGGGCTTAGCCTTGGGTGAGGATCTCACCCGCTGGGGGGTGCCTGCGGGTGGGACGTGGGGTCCAGGGTTCGCGATGCAAAGTACCCAACCCCCCCGCCCGGCTTCTGCTGGAGAGTGAGGGCTCCTCCGGGACGTCCCCGGATCCCTGACCGTCCCCTGTGCTGGGGCCTGCAGTGGACCCGAGAGGCGTCGGTGGTACACCTGGCCACACACCTGGCCATGGGAGGCCCTCCGGGGGAAGGACGGGCAGTCAGAGTGAGGGCTGGGGCACGGACAAGCCCTGGAGTTTTCCTCCCTGGGGGATGGGTTCTGAGGGTCCTGGTGTCCTCCTCAGGACATGCTGCTGGAGGCCAAGGATGGGGGAGGGCAGGAGGTGGCCCAGGACAGGGTGCTCACAGGGCAGGTACACAGGGTCCTGGGATCCTGTAGAGCTTAGGGCCCTGGGTGGGAGTGGCTGTGTTCTTCCCTGGGCCCTTTCTGGGGGTGGCCAGGTAGGCTCCTGCCCAGAGCGGTGCCCTCGAGCTCCCAGGCCCCGGGTGTGGGTGCCTAACCCCCTCAGCTGGGCTGCCTCCCGCCCTCCCTCTGGCAGGGGAGCCCCTGCAGCCAGTCCTTGCTCACCCAGATCTGGGTGCTCTGGCTGCCTGCTCCCCTCACCCTGACCAGCTGCTACCCCTGCACCCTCATGACTGTAGGGCCCCTTGGCCTCGATCTTGCCTGAGTTTTCAGGGGCCTGTGGAGCAGTGTGGGGGTGGCAGGCCTGGGCTCTGCACTCTGTTCCTGCAGCAAGAACATTGTGCCCCTGACCCTTTGGGACTAAGGTTGAGCCCCCTGTGTGGGATGGAACGTTCTGCTCTCCACCTGGTGGCAGGAGTGCTGCTGGGCTAGGGCTAGGGGGAGGCGCCTCAGGCCTCTGAGGGCTCCCAGGGGGCTGTGGAGCTGGGGGGGCTCAAGTCAGAAAACGAAAAATCCCTGGGAGCTCATGGACCCAGCAAGCCCAGCCCCTCCATCTTGTGCCCATGTCCCTTCCTGGGCTGGGACGCAGGTGCCCCCATGTTTGCTGGGCAAGATCTCAGGAGGGCCCCGCCCCTGCTCCGTCCACCTCTGAGCCCTCCAAGCCCAAGCCCTCCCCCTTATGCCTGTTCTGAGGAGGAAGGTGGAGGGCACACCCCTGGGGAGGGGCACCTGCTGGGTGGGCCCATAAGGATGCGAGCATCTGAGTCCGTGGTGATCTCAGCCACTGGCTTCCTCTCTGTCCCTATGGGGATGGGGCGCTGGTGTGCCCTGTGGCTGGTGCTCACCCTGCTGGACGCCCTGAAGGGTCAGACCCCAAACACCAAGCCAGTCGCTGGCTCCGTCTTACAGAGCTTCAAGGAGGACCAGGTCTGGGGGTTGGAGGGAGGGTGACAAAGGCCACCAGGGGCCAAGTGCAGGAGGAAAGGGGAGCTCTGAGCGCTGTGGGGGCCATGGGAGAGGGTGGGGAGGGGGACCTGAGACCGGGCAGGCCGGGCTGTGGACAGGCCTTCCTGGGTCAGCCGCTGTTCCGGGTGACCCCTGCTGGTCCCCAACACTGAGCACATCGAAGCCTGCTGAGGCTCCCACTGGGCAAGGTTACCTGCCCCTGCCAGGCCCAGGCCCACGTCCACTCCTGCAGGAGGCCTCCCTGCAGGCTCAGCCTGGGCACCCTGCCTACGAGGGGCCTCGGGCCGCCCTGGACTCTGCCTACCATGGCTCCCACAGTTCCAGGGGGAGTGGTTTGTCATCGGCCTGGCAGGCAGCACCCACAGGAGGTCGGACAAGTTCCTGTTGAATTCATTCACGGCGACATTCGAGCGAAATGAAAACAGCCGCCTGCAAGTGTCCTATGCTATGACCCGGTGAGTGGGGGTCCCTGGCCTGGACCCCTGGCAGCTAATGGCTCTATGGCTCAGGTCCAGCATGGGCCCCAGCACCACAGTCTGCCCCAGGCCTCCGCTCAGGAGAGTCTGCACCTCACAGGGGTTGTACGTTAGCCTAGGCCGATGCTCTCCTGAGGGTGCCGATTCCAGAAAAGAGTGAGCGCCCTGTTCAGCCTGGCAGTGGCCTCTGACTGGGTCTTCTCGAATCACTGGGTTTTCTGGAGACAGGACCAGTTGCTGCATCCAGGGTGACAGGTGCTCTGTCAGTCCGCCTGGATGAAATGCCACCCCCTGGTGGGGAGCAAGTGGGGGGTCTTGGTGGACAGCCCCCTGGAATGAGGTGGATGGTGGTACACTCCCACGCTGGGGACCACCGAAACCTGAGGGCTCCCTGCCCACCTGCCCGGCTGTGGGGGCAGGGAGAGCTGGGAGCCCATCCAGTCAGGGCTCTTTGGCTCCAAGTAACATAACACAGGAACCTTAATCGAGGCGGGCTCGTCATGCAGACCGGGGGCAGATCGTGGGCGCTGAGAGCCTCCCCCGAGCCATCTAGGATTCCTGGGGGCCCCTGACTGACCTGGCTCTTGCCGGAAGTTGATTATCAGGGGGCGTGGGGGACAGAGACCCCAGTGCAAGTGCAGCTGGACCATGAAGCCTTCAGGATGGCCTCACCTCTCCCCTTGCAGGCCAGACACCCTTGGTTACTTCTCAAAACAGCCTGGAGAGGCCCCCGCACTGCAGGGGGCTCACTGGGATTCCCACATCGGACCTGCTCAGCGAAGTTCAGGGCACCGGCCTGAGGCCCAGCCTGGCCCGCTCCATGCTCCCCGAGGGGACACTGTGGCCCGTTTTCTTGCCATTGCACATTGGGGGTCTATTCCAGGCTGAGGAGTGGATGGTGTGTGGGTGGGCTGGGATGCAAGGATGCACATGGACGGGGGTAGAGCTCACACGTCCATCACTCCTGTAGGGGTACCCACCCCGGGACACCCTCGAAGCCTCCTATCTGCTGGGCTGTGCCCATGGCTTCTGACCAAAGCGTCCTCCAAACAAACAGCAGTGTTGTCTTGGGGGCCCATGTTGGGGCGGCATCTGAGAACAAGAAGGGAACCAGAGGTCTGGCCGGGTTCCAAAACCTTTCTCTGTGTCCATCCCTACCTCCACAGGGGCCACCGCTGTATCACATGGTCTTATGTGCTGATTCCAGCGGCGCAGCCCGGGAGGTTCTCAGTGGATGGCGGTGAGGCCGAGAGGGTGACGGGTGGGAGGGAGGAGGATGGCAGGGGGCAGGGACGCTGGTGGGCAGGCCATGATGCTGTGCCTGTGCCCCCCTCCCCAGCGTCGGGGGCAAACCCCGAGGAAGTCCAGGTGTATGACACTGACTACAATGTGTTCGCTCTGATGCTGTTCAGAAGGCAGTCAGGTGGCCAAAGCATCCTCAGGGTTAACCTGCTCTGTGAGTTCCCCACCCGGCTGCCACTGTCCAGCTGGTGGGAGCAGGAAGGGGAAGGAGGGCAGGGTGCCCAGCATCCCCACTCACCCTCAGGGGCTAAGGGCCATGCTCTGCTCCTCGGGCCCCAGGCAGGATGTGGATAATCCAGACCCGGGTGCTGGACAAATTTGTCTGCCTGGTCAGAGCTCTGGGCCTGTCGGACAACAACATCGTCTTCCCAGACCTGGCAGGTAACGGGCCCTCAGGGCACAGGGGCCTGCACCCACCAGGCCCCCCCCCCCATGGGCCTCCGAAGCCCTGTGGGAGCCAACAGGGAAGCATGGCCTGCCTTCAGGGTCTCCCTGTGGGGATCCTGCCAACCCAGAGGGTTCAACCAGAGCCCAAAGTGGGGGTTCTCATAATTCCTTGGTCTCTGTGCCCTCCATACCCCATCCTGGGCCACCTCCTGCCCCCCAAGTCCCCCCTCCTCTCCTGGGCCACCTCCTGCCCCACCAGGTCCCCGCTCCCATCCTGGGCCACCTGCCTTCCCCTCCTCCGGCTCTTTACATGTCGATGATCACGTGAGCACATAGTGGCACATATGGAACGTGCAGACAGGCGCACAGCCACAGTGCTCATATGTGCACGTGTCCTCACACACCCATGTGTGCCCATGTGTACACACCGGGAGATGTGTCTGTGCACCATGTTCACAAGCACAGGCAAGTGAGCACTCACCTGCATGGCTGCATGGAGTCGGGGCTGCGTGCCTCAGGTGGGCGTGTCTCTCAGCCACACACACTCCCATCTCCCCTGTCAGACTGGTCTCATCCCAATAACTGCTGAAGATGTGGCTGCTCCCCAGCGGAGGCCCCCTCACAGCCCAGCAGTGCTCTGCTTTCAGCCTGGAATAAACGCTCCGTGGTGGGATCCGGGAGTATGAGCCACTCTGACCTTGGGGCAAGTGGTGGGGGGCAGCCCCTCAGGGCACACTCACGCCACCCCCAGCCCACTCGGCCTGTCCACCCCTGCCCCCCACCGGCTCCTGTTGCAGGTGTTTGTGGGTAGGACTAGGCCCCTCCCCTGCCCACACAGCCCGTGCTGTGTGTGTCCACAGGGCCTGCCCCCCACAACAGGACAGGAGTAGGCCTACCTACAAGCAGATGCCCCAGCCTGGAGGTTTAGCTTCCTGTTGGCAGCGGGGAGGTGGGGACAGCCTCCTGACCCTTACCCTGACTCCCACTGGGTGTAGAGGTTCTTTCTGTACTGGGGCCCCAGCTGTGTGCTCACAGCTGCCCCAGCCCAGACAGGACCAGTCCTCCTGAGTCTCCCCTCATCGGCCCCCAGGAGGTCCAGGCAGGGGGGCAGCAAGCCAAGCCCAGGCCCCGCAGGAACCTGGCCCCACCACAGATCAAAGAGCATCGGAGAGACCTCTTGCTCTGCACTGGATTGCACACTGGACCCCCCAGCCAGGGCCTGTCCCTGCTCCGGGCACTGGAACCCCCAACCCGGGTATGTCCCCGCTCAGGGCACTGGACACCCCCAGCCTGGGGCTGTCCCTCCTCAGGGCATTGGAGGCCCCCAGCCTGGGCCTGTCCTCCCTTAGGGCACTGGACCCCCAGCCTGGACCTGTCCCCCCTTAGGACACTGGACCCCCTAATACACACACCCCAGCCTGGGCCTGTCCCCCCTTCAGGGCTCTGGACCCCCCCCCACACACACACACTGGACCCCACACACACACACCCTGGGTCACCTGGGTCTGTTCCCCCTCAGGGCACTGGACGCCCCCCCCAGCCTGAGCCTGTCCCCTGTCAGGGCAGGGTGGGAGGTGGGCTGTCCGTGGCCCTGGATGCTGGGAGATTCCTGCCCAGGGACCCCCACTCTGGGTCCTGCACTCCCCCCACCCCCTGTCCACCAGAGTCGCACAAAGCCCCACACTGTGACAGAGACATGGGTGGCATCCTGGGGCTTCCCCTGGTCCTGGGGACCCAGTGCTGCATCTCAGGAGAGCCCTGCAGGCCCCAGAGCACAGCAAGCTGGCCCCGTGCCCTGACCCAGGGGAGGCCAAGTGGGACCGCAGAGATCTGGGACCAGGTGGCCGGCCTCCTTGGGTGCATCTCCATCAGTGACCCTCCCCGGGGGTGTGTGGCCCCATGCCTACCTGGACAGAGGGCTGGCTGTGGTGGTGGGGTAGGGTGGGGGGACAGGCAGGCTACTGCCAGGGACACTGATACCCCGCTCGTGGCCTGAGCCCCCTTTCCACGAAGGATGGAACCGCCCATTTACTAGTCTGGAGGGCAGGTGGTGATTTCGAGCACTGGAACCACTGTGCACCTTCCCAGAGCTGCCTGGGGGCCGGGTGTGGCCGTGGACCCATTCCTCAGTGACACGTGGGACTCAGGACTCTGAAGGATGCCCCCAACTGCCCCAGCCCCTCTCCCAACCCTGCCATGAGGGCAGGGGTCCCAGTCACCCCCGTGAGGGGACATTCCCCCTGCAGGGTCAGCACCTGCCTTCCAGCCAAGTGTTGCCCAGCTGGCCCCTGGCTAGCTGCCCAGGACACCCCGCAGGTCTACCCCGAGCTGCTGAGAGCAGATGCACCATGTGTCCCCACATTCCGGGCAGCGTGGCCACCAGCCCATCCCTCGCACCAGTCAGTGTTGCGGGGCCGTCCCCTTCCTAGACAAGTGGAGAACTGTAAGGGGCAAGGGACTGGGATCCCAGGGCCTAGGGCACAGGCAGTTCCCCTGGGGCCCAGACCTTCTCCAGCTACCCCGGGGCCCTGGGCAGGTGGGTGCATCGCTGGCACCTGAGCCCCTTGAGGTAGGAAGCTGTGAGAGCACCACCTCCAGGGTGGGCCCAGGTCTGCAGCCGAGCCTGCTGGGGGGTTGACCGTGGGGAGGGGGCTGGCAGTGGGGCCGGCAGGATGGCTGGAGAGGTAGGGACACAGGGCTGAGGGCTGGGCCACTGAGGGAGGGCCTAGTGGTGAGAGGGGTGGCAGGATGGGGCAGCGGGAGGGGCGGTGTGCTGGGTCTCTGGCTGAGGTAGGTGCTCTTGCCCCACCTGGTGGGCTAACTCGTTGCTTTATTACATTGGTTTTCTCTTTATTACCTTGTAAACATTACTTTTCTGGTTTGTTGTGTTTTTTTTTAACTCTCCTTAAGTATCCACTTCTGTGGCCTCGGCACCGTCTCCACGTCCCCAGGACCTGTGGGTCTTCCCAGACTGGACTCTGTCCTGTTAAACTCTATCCCCTCCCTCGCTGCACCCCCAGCCATGTCTGTGGATCTGGGGCCTCCTGGGAGTTCCCGCCCATACAGAATCTGTCCTCCTGTGCCGGCTTATCTCTCTCAACACCATGGCCTCAGGTCCATCCCGTGCCAGGATTTCCTTCCTTTTAGGGCTGAGTGATGGTCCGTGGTGTCGACGGAAGACGTCTTGTTTATGAGTAGGCGCTCAGGTTGCTCCCACCCCTGGGCAGCTGTGAATGACACTGCGACCAACATGAATGTTCAGGTCTCTCTTCAAGACTGTTTTTTTAGAGAATCTTTTTTTTTTAATTTTTTTATTTATTTATGATAGTCACACAGAGAGAGAGAGAGAGGCAGAGACACAGGCAGAGGGAGAAGCAGGCTCCATGCACCGGGAGCCCGACGTGGGATTCGATCCCGGGTCTCCAGGATCGTGCCCTGGGCCAAAGGCAGGCGCTAAACCGCTGCGCCACCCAGGGATCCCTTTTTTAGAGAATCTTAAGCTGACTCCACTTTGCATTTTTTATTAAAGATTTTATTTTCTTTAAAAACAAAAGGGGGGGTATCCCTGGGTGGCGCAGCGGTTTGGCACCTGCCTTTGGCCCAGGGCACAATCCTGGAGACCCGGGATCGAGTCCCGCGTCGGGCTCCCTGCGTGGAGCCTGCTTCTCCCTCTGCCTGTGTCTCTGCCTCTCTCTCTCTCTCTCTCTCTGTGTGTGTGTGTGACTATCATGAATAAATAAATAAAATCTTTAAAAAATAAAAATAAAAAATATTTATTTATTCATGGGAGACAGAGACAGAGAGAGAGAGAGATAAAGAGAGGCAGAGGGAGAAGGAGGCTCCATGCAGGGAGCCCGACGCGGGACTCTATCCCGGGACTCCAAGATCACATCCTGGGCCAAAGGCAGGCGCTAAACCACTGAGCCACCCAGGGATTCCTCCACCTTGCATTCTTACTGTAACTTTCCACTGCTCTTGGTGTCAGCCTGGAGGTAACGAGGTCACCCTCGAGTTATTAATGTCCAATATGAATTATCATGTTCCCCATCTTCTGGGCAAAGTAATTATTACAACACTTTCCTTCCATTTATACCCTCTGAGGTTTCATTCGATTTTTGTCATGTGTTTTGATTCTAACTATACTTGGCACCTGCAGGACGTACTGCAGGTGACCGAGACCACAATCACCAGGGTCTGTTGTGCTCTGTAGCCCATCCCATGCGGCTGTGCTCGAGTCAGTAGCACCATCCTTCTGGCTGAAGAGCATCCTTTCATATTTTTGTTTCATTGCAGGTCTGTTTGTGATCAATTCCTTCCTTTGGGTTTTATTTGTCTGAAAATTCCTTATTTAGTCTTTATTTCTAAAATATGAACTTAGGGGACCCCTGGGGAGCTCAGTCGGTGAAACGTCTGACTCTGGATTTAGGCTCAGGATGTGGTTTCGGGATCATGAGATCGAACCCCATGTCTTAGGCTCCCTGCTTCTCCTCTGCCTCCACCCCTCCCCGGCCCTGCTCAGTGTTCTTGCTCTCACGCTCTCATTCTCATGCTCTCTTTCTCCCTTTCAAAAAAAAAAAATCTTAAAAAAAAATAAAATACAAGCTTAGATCTGATGTGCACCAAACTGGACACGATTTCATCGTGTGCTTTGATGAGTTGGGACCAATGTAGACACCTGTGTAAACAGAACCCAATCAAGATGCAGAACATTCCATCATCCCAGAGAGCTCCTTGGTGACCCTTTGTGACTGGTCTCACCCCCACAGCCACAGACTGAATTCCATCTCCACGGAGGCACTTGGCCTGATCTGGGATTGCACAGCATGTAGCCTCTTGCATGTCACGCAGTCCTGGGGCCATCCCACCCCAGGTCACTCTCCGGTCAATGGATGGTTGCATCCACTTGTTTTTTTTTTGTTTTGTTTTGTTTTTTTTGTATTCTTTTTTAAGTAGGCTCAGCACAGAGCCCAATGCCGGGCTTGAACTCACGACCCTGAGATCAAGACGTGAGCTGAGATCAGGAGTCAGATGCTCCACTGACTGAGCCCCCCACCCCCCTGGCACCCCCTTCCCTTCTTGACCCCACGGCCCCACTGCAGGTAAAGCCTCCAGCCTGGAGTAGCTTGACAGACAGAAAGAATGTGTCCCCAAGAGATGGTCCATAAATGGGACACCTGGGTGGCTCAGTCGGTGAAGCGTCTGACCCTTGGATTCAGCTCAGGTCACGGTTTCATGGTTGTGGAATCAAGCCCCGCATCAGGGAGCCTGCTTGAGATTCTGTCTCTGCCACCCACCTTCTCTTGCAAATAAATAAATTTTAAAAAAATAGGGGTTCCTGAGTTGCTCAGTCACTGAAGCCTCAGCCTTTGGCTCAGGGCATGACCCTAGGGTCCTGGGATCCAGTTCTGCTTTGGGCTCGCCACAGGGAGCCTGCTTCTCCCTCTGCCTGTGTCTCTACCTCTTTCTGTGTCTCTCTTGAATAAATAAATACAATCTTAAAAAATTTTGTTTAAATGTGTGAATTCTGAAACATGATGAAAATGGCATTGTTTGGGAGGAGGGAAAGGAATCCATCCACGTGACTTTGTCAAATTGAAGCTTTGCATTGTAATGTTGGCCATAACCACTAGAGCATATGTGTGTACAGATATACGCACAT